TCTACCTTTAGTCCCATAGAAGAATCATTAGCAGCTTGGTATGCTCTGTAAAAAGGTTTTCGTGTATCAAATGCCTACTTGCCTCGTCAAGAAGGATGTCGACATTCTGTGATAATATGCCCAGCACGTTTACAATAAGAACAAAATTTTTTCCTCATACACTGGGATGTTATATGACTATATTCTTTACACTCATAACATTGCAACAAATATGGATCCTTTTGTGGGTCCTTTGGTGATGATGTTCCGCTAGCCCGTTGAGCTACAAGTATAGACTCTATATTCTTCTGTCCCTCAATTGTGGTTTGGGTCGTGATTCTTGTCTCTTCACGAAGTAATTCACCGAGAATGACATCTATATTTGCTAATGTTTCACGATTCAAAATATTAACTCAAACAATCTCATAGTCTGGCCGCAACTTCATCAAAAACTGCATCACCTTCCTGTCACCATTGATCTCCATTAAGTTCTTAATGCAACAAGCACTAGTGATAGCCTGCAAGTTGAAGGATTCATATTCTGTTCATAAGTTCATGAAACCAACATAATATTCTTGAATAGTTTCTCCCCTTGGCTATAAAAAAACATATCATACTCGATTTGGAAGCGTCTTGCAAGATTTGACTGCTGATAAACTTTTTCGAATATTCACATATTTCTTTCGCGATACGGAAGCCTCTCATTCGCCTTCTAATATCCAAATCTACAGAACCGAAGATCCATGAGATAATTTTTACGTTGTTAATCTTCCATTGTTGGGTATCTTTAGCATTTGGTGTAACCGGTTCAGGTTTAGTGTCATCAACATACCTCCATAAACTTTTCCCTTCAACAAAAAATTGAAAATAGAATAGCCGATCGGGATAATTTTTTCCATCAAGTTTTATCGCCAATATATCTTCTTTTTCAGAAGCCATATACAAAATGTCTTAAATGGTTTTGTTTTGATATAATATGGTCCCTATGGACCTTGGGAAAAGAAAGATTCATGGGTTATTATGAAGAAGAGCTCCACCAACAGGGGCTCACAGAGGGCGTGCAGAGAGAAATCACACTAAACGTGAAGACATCACGCTCTTCATCGACTTGCAAAAGAACTCAAGCTTTTGACGAAGCTATTGCTGATTTTAAGGCAAAAAAAAAAAATTGGCACCACTTGTGTGTGAGATCAACTTAGTTGCTTATTGCGGCCAAAGATGCAAACATGCAACATCAATAAAATAAGAGGGATACCACTACGGGGTTTTGCTTGCAAAGCATGAATCCTTGACGTTCATTGCTACCCTGTTGTAGACGCCAATATGCAGAGGGCAAGTAAAAGAAAATTCAACGGAGATTTAGAGAGATCGAAGAACAATGAAAGAAAGAGAGGCTTTTCAGATCTCACCAAAAAAAGAAAAATAAAATTAAGACAGCTTGTACGAGGAAGCTTTGACGAGAGAAACATTGTGGATGATTAATTGGTTTGATACCATTGTTAAAATTCTGAATCTTCTATATAAATCTTTGAATATGGATTTATTGTAAAGAATATACAAAATACCATATAAATATACGGCTAATCAATTATTGATAATGACTAACTAATCTAGTCTTTATCAATAGAGATATCTACATCAAACTAACTAATCTAATTTTTATCAAGAAAGATATCTATATCTAATAAAAAATAAATTAAAATTAATTAAAAACCATCATCAACTATTTCTTCAAGAAAGACTTGAGTAAGTTGTGGTTTTATTGTGTGAACCCCCAGCCATAGAGAAGTGGGGATGTCACCATACATGAGCCCAATCAGGTTTTGATTGGGCCTACGGCTTTTCCCTGCGCATTAAGTACCCGGAAGCAGTAGGCAGATGCTTCCATTGCCTTTGCTATTCAACACTGTTCAATTTGAAGCTCGGACTAAAGCCTAGAGTTCGTATAAGCTTTGAGACCCAAAGCAAGAGTATTCAAACCTGTAAATGGGTTTAATGCAGTGGTTTAAAAAACGGACCAGTATCTCGGATCAGACACCTCAAAAACTCATCTAGATCGGTAAATCAATAGTTCAGATCAGGAATTGGCCGAATCGGTTAGATTCAACAATAAAAAAAATCATAAAAATTTATTAAAAATATTGTGTTTTAGGAATCCAATAAAAAATGGGGGCACTACATTATTAATTTTTATTTTTTCTTCAATATGCGAATATTGAGATGTTCTTTCCCTGTATGAACTTATGCTAACCATTAAATTTAAATCACACAAAAAAAGAATCATAGAATTATCATGGATGAAGTATCTTATAATATCATTTAATTTGAAATATATTATTGACAACTGTAAGAAAAAATAGTATATTACATCAAGGTTTAAAAAAACGGATTGGAGATTTTTTAAACATTGATCGAATTCAAAAAATAAGATATTATTTAAAAATAAGAACAAATCTACAATGTCTTATAATGTCATCAAACTCAAAAAATCTTATTTACAACAATAAGAAAAAATAATACATTGCAAAATTTATAATACAAATAAATTAATAAATAAAATACAAGATTTGATTATCAATATATAATCATTAATTATAACACTATAATAATAATAATAATAATAATAATAATAACAGCCCCTATGAATTTTAATATTATGAAATTAAAATTTAGCATTAAAAATAAGTAAATGAAAAAATGTTGTCACATTCTATATAACAATAATAATTTATTAAATAACATAAAAATTTAATATATTAAATTATATGATATTTTAATGTATTTATAACAATAAAAATTTCAATATAGCAATAATAATTTTAACAGAATTACAATAAATAATTATAGTAAGTTAACAATTTTGACATAATTATATTCATTCAACATAATAATAAGAATGTCATTTTAATAAGTTCATATTCATATAATTATAGTGACATAAGTTTAACATAATTATATTGAGTTATTAACATAAATAATAAAAAATTCATATAATTATATTAATTCTTGAAAATTAATTATGTGTAATTTGTTTTTTTATATTTATGTGTAATTCAAACTTAGTTATATGTACTTTATTTTTGTATGTTATAAAAATAAAAATGAACATAATTAATTAAAAAAAAAATTATTTTGTCGACCATTTATTTTATAGATGATAGTTTCCTTATATAAGAGAAAAAGTTATTAATAAAAACTTGCCTTTAATTGTGAACTTGTGCACCCTATTGCCAGGGCAAAAGAAATATCCTACTGATGGATGGTGGGAAGGTTTGATGTAAATGAAACATGTAGTGTAACCTCCTGGAACTTCTCGCCAACACTAAAAATCCTCTTTCTATTTATACAGTTTTAGGATGAATTTGTTCTTCATTTATGTTAGTTCCTATATACCTGGAGTCATAATCTTTTAAAGCTACCACATTTAGGGCGAATAGATTAAGGATTCCCACCTACATTGTACCTTTGATCTAATCAGAATTGCCATTGTGTTATTATTTCTCCTACACACATATGTTCCGAGGTAGCTATAATATACAAAAAAATGACTTCAACCTTTATAATATCCCCATTTTCAGGTTCAGGTTTTTCAGATTTTTCAGATTTTTTAAATAAATAAGAACTGAAAATGTGTCTTGGCAAGTTTGGGTCACACATGATAAACCCTAATTTCCTTGGTCATCTCATCCTTTTTCTCAGAATTTACTTTTGTATGATTAACAACTAAAAGCTTACCGGTTTTAGTTGATTTCTTTGATGAGTGCTTCACTTAGCTGAGTCTTAACTTCGGAATATATTTTTGAAAAGTTTGCATCAGAGAGAGATCACATGTTGAGGCCGTCATATACTTTGAAGACAGTGGGAACATCCAATTACTCTTTGAGCAATGGAAGTAAAATCAACCTCTTTTTGATTGAGATTTCTCTACTCTGTGATAATTATTTTGTAGAGAATAGATCACAGTGTGATTCCATATGTAGCTGTTATAGTGATTATTCTTATGAGTGAAGTTTGCAGTGAGTCAAGTCCTTTACTTGGCACATTCTTCCTCCCTATTCTGTTTTGTCTGCTCGCTGGGACTGAGAATGCTCACCTACATTTGTCAACGCATAAAACTAGACTTTCAGCCGCGACAAAGCCTCTCAGTCATCCAGATGACAACTGAGCATCATTCTCATCGATCACTGTCAATTTCAGGAAGAATTATCAAGATTAATCTGGCTGCAACTTTTGCCCTGTAGTTAACTGAAACTGCTCAATTCCAGGCTCACCTTCCCAATCTTTTAAAATTGCTTGTTCCAGGGCCTTATTGAATTCCCATTATTTGTCAATGACATAGCAAGTCTCTAGAGTGTTCCCTCCAAAACTAGGCCATATATACTATCCTCACGGTTAAATACTAGTTTGCGATTTTTTTTCATTGTTATCACTTTTTCTGATTTTTAGTATGTTATCACTTTGTAGTATGTTCTTGGCAAGATACGTCCGCAATTATCATGTTAAGGCTTTCGATGAACCAAGAATCAGACGCGAATGTGGTACTTAGATTTTGTCCTAGTTCTTTTGATGTGGGCACTACTAAGCAATTTAAGTTATGAAGACGTATATTCAAATCTTCGATGAGAAATATCATTGTTTGCAATTTAAGTTATGGAGACGTTGTATATTCAGATCTTCGATAGGGGATTTCATTGTATTATTATTAAATCCTTAGATTTAGGTGACCTCCTAGAAAGTCCTTGGGTCGCATCCCTTTATGGGTACGGGGTAGGGGGCTGTCATCCCCCACTGTCCCTTGCAAACAACAAAATACACACACAAAAACCAACTTATACCATAGGATAAGTATACTTTAGTTTTGAGGAGTTAGATTTAAGAGATGGCAATGGATGTGAGTCAATGAGAGGCTTGTTAAACCACGCACAAACATATGCCCACAGAAGAAAGAGATAAAAGAACAATAAATTACAAGTAAGGAATCAGGCATGGTCAAAACGGCAGTAGCTGGCTTTTCATAGCACTATGTCTCAAGTTCCATTCTTACTTAACCTTGTCAAAATAAATAAATAAATTACAAGTAATAAATTGGTTGAACAAGCTTTTCCCCATGAAAACGCTAGATTAGCATGAGGTAATATAATGTATGCCACGACTGAGCCAACCATTTGACTCTTAGTCATAGGTTATGTAGCACTTGAATCCTGTTCTTCCAAACTTCTCAACGCAATGCTTATTTGCGTTTGTAGTATACACTCAATAATGATAAAAGATAGAAGAAGAAAAAGCAAAAAAGGAAGTTTACATTTCTGTTATACACTCAATAATGATACGAGATGGAAGAAGAAAAACAGAGTGTAAGTTTATGCTGAAAAAGGTGACGCATCATGGCCCTCCTGAGAGTAAATGTTAAGAGCCAGCAGAAGAGTTAAGAGACAAGTCATTATGAGAAGAAATAAGGGCTCGGAAGTAGTCATAGTTTTCATTTATGTTCACCACAATATCATTAGGCAATGTATTAGGGAAAGGGACATCACCATCCAAATACTGGCACACTTGCCTCATGCTAGGCCTTGAAGCAGGCACTGGGTGAGAGCATACCAATCCTAGCATTAAGATCATAGCCATCTCTTCAGCCACAAACTCACCCTTAAGCCTAGGGTCAGCAACATCCAAGAGCTTCCCTTCACTGAAGCACTTCCACACCAAGTCCACCAAAATCATTTCTTCAGGCAACCCCTGCAGATCGACTGGCCTACGCCCGCAGGCCACCTCGAGCAACACAATGCCATACGAGAAGACGTCAGAGTAAGTGGTATACTTGCCAGAACGGGACACCTCCGGTGCGAGGTAGCCCAGTGTTCCAACCACGTGCGTTGTGTGCATGTCGGTTCCATGATCACATAACCGTGCCAGCCCAAAGTCTCCCAATCGACCATTCATATCAGTGTCTAACAAAATGTTGCTCGCCTTCACGTCTCTGTGAACTACCACCTGATCCGCTTGCTCGTGTAGGTAGAGCAGTGCTAAGGCGACACGTTTTAGGATGTTGTGCCGTTGCTCCCAGCTTAAAATTTGGGTGCTTTCATCAAACAGGTGCTTGTCGAGGCTACCGTGGGGCATGTAGTCATAGACTATGAGGAGCTCTGTTTTGCGCTTGCACCATCCAAGTAGTGGTAACAGGTTCCTGTGTCGTAGTCTCCCAATGATGGAAATCTCTGATAAGAATTCTCTTAACCCTAACCCCGATTTATTTGCCTCACATTTCACTGCAATTTGCATTCCAGAGTCTGGCATCACGCCTCTATAGACCTTACCGAAGCCCCCAGATCCCACCAGCCTATCCTCTCTGAAATTCCTGGTGGCCTCACAGAGCTCCTTGTATGAGAACCTATGTGGCCCATACTCCAACTCCCACTCTTCCACGATCTCCTCATCCCTTTTCCTTTTAACAAGGTATACAATCCCTGATATAGTTGCCATGGCTAGGATTATAGAAGACAGAATTATGCCAATCTTAGAAGCCATAGAAATCCCTCTAGATGATTTGGCTTTCGGGTACAAAGGAAGGTGAGAGAGATCTAAATCTCGAGCCCTGCCATTTATCGCGAAGCTCCATCCCAGAATGTAATGGCAGCTTATAAACATGCCTGTGCTTGCAGAGAAACCCACATACATGAACTCTTGTAGGATTGGTGAAAGATCAATCCTGGTAGAAATCAAAGGGGGGCTGGTTCTTCCAGCTATCTGAATAGGAGATAGAGTTACATTCAGCAACTTCTCTGTGCCATCATATTCTATCCATACCTGAATTGGGTCTCCACTCTTGAGACTTATGTTGTGTTTGGTAGTCTCATGATCCTTTGTGATGGAATAAGCCGCAGAAGCGGATACATTAGACCTCACGCTGTTCAGGTCAATACCCACATGGTTATCATCGATGTCTCCTAAATCTATGCTCTTGTAGGTGTCGAATTCCACTGCAAAAATTTGGTTTTTGGGGTCACCATTGCCTGTGATGCCAACGAGTCCGAGGTACTGTGTGGATTGGCCTCCTTCGAGCTCAGTAGATGGAGAGATAGCAAATGCAAAACCACCAGATGCGACGACTTTGATAGCATCGATAGCAAACACAAAAGCTGTTGAGAAAGAGAAAGCATTTCCTGATGAGGAGTTCTTGAATTGCAAAAGGTTGGGGAAGAAAGCATGACCTTTCACTTGTTGAGAAAATTGGCTTAGCTGCAAGGCTCCACTAGGTATGACCTCTGAGACACCATTTAAGCTCAAGTTAGCTCCACGGAAGCTTGAGTATATGAAGCCAGTCTCGTATGAGGCAGAGAGGTTGATTGCAAGAAAGAGGAGCACAGCTTGGAGCAACATCTTTTATCTCTTCTGCTTAGAGAAGCAAGAGAAGCAAGATTTACTGGTTTTGTTTACGTAGGATAAACGGAAACCAGGTTGTGGGGATTCATATAGGCATAGGTATTCGATTGCAGTCACATCATGATTTTGTGTGGCCACCTCCCCATCTTTCCCTCTGCTTTTCTTTTGATTCTAACCAGCCTTGGACCGCTCTGTCTGTGTGTAATTATTTTAAAGGGAAAGCATACTATAGACAAAATTCTATTGTTATTTTCACCCTAACCGTCCTTTTACAGTAATGGGCGGTGGAGATGGGCCCTTATCCAAAAACTATCACCACAATTAAGTGGTAAATGCAAATTGCAAGAATAGCCGGCCTTAAATAGTTTAGAAAATGGGTTTGAGGATGGTGATAATGCAAATGGCAAACAATGACAAGACCCATTAAAATTTGATTATAACCTTTCACAACGGTATTTTAACGCCACGTGTTGTACGAATAAACAATCTAAAGTTTTCATCATGTTGACTTTGACGTCTTGGGCTTGCTTCCGTGGATAGGTATATTTTTAAAATATATATTTATTTTTGAGTAATGTTGATCCTTTTAATTAGGATCTCATAGGACCACCAATATAACTGTTTAGAAAAGTTTAACCTCACATTTATGTATTAATTTTTTTAAAGATTTATACCGAATTTAATAACGATCTTTTAAAATCCTACATATATATATATATATATGTCAAATTTAAAGGTAATCATTTGAAACTCTAGTGTATCAAATTTATGTGTCAAATTTAATAGTAATCTTTTAAAATTTTTATATGTCAAATTTAATGATAATCTTTTGAAGTTCTATACACATAAATGTGTGAAAGTATCATAAGATCAATACTTTTTATTTTTGTATAATCGTGGTGGAGGTTATTGGTTACATTTTAAAATTAAACGAATACCAAGCAATTACATTATAGGTGTTATTAATACGTCACACATAATGCAAATATGTAATAATAAATATAAAAAAAGTACTATAAAATCTAATTGTCAATGCACAAAGCATACCAAGTCCTAGTGTTAAAACTTAAAAATTAGTGAATAATATATATTAAAAATGAGACTAAACGTTCAACATAAGCCCTTAATCATATTTATAAAACTTAGACCTCATCAAGTACATAACTTGTATGAAGTAGTATAAAATATAAAATATAAATAGAAAAAGGAAAAAATGTACCTCAATTTCTCCATTTGAAATTGATATGGTTCCTCTATCTGAAATTTTGAGATACTTTCTTTCTCTATAATTTAAAATTTGAGATAGTTTCTATCTATAAAATTTTTGAGATAATTTTTCACTCTAAATAATTTCAGCTAGTTTTTTTCTCTAAAATATGGTATAGTTTCTCTCTCTAAAATTTTAAAGTACATTCTATATCTAAAACTTAAAATTTAAAATAGTTTTTTTCTAAAAATTGTATGATATCTTCACTCTCTAAAAAATTTTAAGTACTTTCTCACTCTAAAATTTGATATAGTTACTCTATCTAACATTTTAAAATACTGTCTCTCTCTAAAACTTAAATTTTAAGATAGTTTATCTCTATTTAAAATTTTTATGTAGTTCTTCTCCCTAAAATTTTAATAAACTTGCTCTCTCTAAAACTTTAAAGTTGAGATAGTTTTTCTATCTAAAATTTTTTAAATAGTTTCTCTTTTTAAAATATTTCAGGTACTTTCTCTATCTAAAAGTTGATATAGTTTTCTTTTTAAAAGTTTTAAAATAATTTATCTCTCTAAAAATTAAAATTTAAGATATTTTCTCCTTTTAAAATTTTAAAAATAAAATTTCAGGCCATACTGAAATAATATCTTTTGACCTTACTCTAAGGTGCGATTGTTTAGGGCCTAAACCTTGAAAGTACTCTAGTGTTACGTCAATAAAAAAAAAAAACCGTCCTTTTGCACTAATGGGTGCTTAAAATTTAATGTTCGGTGCAAATTGCAAGTAATGTGAACGTCTATCTGTTGGAGTCAAACATGGCATCAGTTTTTCTAGGGCATCATTTGATGGCTTACGCGTTATTTTGTTGACCATGTGGAATGCTATCGAGTCTTGTGAACCACATCTTTTGAATCGGGGGTCCACATACCTGGCCCACTTATTCTACCTAGTTTGATTTGTGCAATATAATGATGGAAAAGTTTATATAAGGCTGCCAACTTAAAATGTAGAATCACACATGCAGCTCAAAAATCTATCGAAAATGTTGTTTTAATATTGAAAAAGCTCTCTAATCAATCATCTCGACATCGAGATATATGAATATGAAAAAAAAAAGTTTTTAAATATCGAAAATAGTGCTTCTTACAACATATTATCTAGACTATCCATTTTCAAGATTTTCATATATTTATAAATCTATTTGATTTTAACTATTTTTAGAATTTAAATTTTTTTAATTAGGTGTCAAATAGATTTTAAAATAATATTAAAAAAATTTTACAACAAAATTACATGTTATGATAAAATTTTAAGGTACGCGTTAATTGGATTGTTTAAGGTTGCAACTTTATAGGAACCGCACCCTCTAATGATTGTTTGGCTGGGACACATATGGTACATTTTTTATTTTGAGCTCTATAGAAAACATCGGATTGGGGTACAAACAGGTACTATTTTAATACTTTTAACACACAAAATCTATGCTTTCCTTGTAGGTAGAGGCAAATGGAAGGTGACAGTCGGATTCCTAGTCCAGCACAACCTGGTTGACTAGGCCCTCTATAACATGGGCCTGGCCCCAGTTTTAGCAAGCTGGCCTGCCAAGCTTAAAATTTAGGCAAAGTTGAGTCTGCGAGTGAAGATATATTTGTGAAGTGGACTTAGCCTGATGGCGAGATATGGTCGGGCTTGGACCAAGGGGTTTATGACTGACTTGGTCTGAACTGCACTCTATATACTCTCCAGACCATGAAAAATATGTAGTTAACATAATCTGTAAAACTATATAAATTACGTATTGGTGTATTTCTATGAATGAAGAGACTTCAACATTAGAGGTAAATGACACTGAGGATTTTGTTCCATTGGCCCAGATCCAAGGCTCTATCCATTGAAAGGGCTCCCACAAATCATGTCAGTTCACCTTGGCCCACGATCAGAAACTAGTTTGGTTCAAGATTGCAGGATCTTGAGAACTTCTTTAGCCAAAAATCGATGAGGGCTTCTACTATTGCCCCTCTTTGGCACTCATTTTGAGTAGTGGGATGAGGGGTAGAGAAGTAGACAACTGAGACACGCAGGTTTAGAAAATTGAGATTATTCGTATGAATGTCGAACACCACCAAACAAAGGATGTCACTATCACGATCCACAAGACTTGAACACATCCCCACATTAAGGGATTTATCTATGGAGATGGCTCCCATATATCATGGCAATTCACCTTGACCTAGGTGTTAGTTTTGTTAAGCACTAGAGAAAACATGGTTAGAGGCTACAGCTATCATGATCAGGAAGACTTCAACTTCTTGGTTGAGATTTCTCTATGACTGTGGGTATTAGCTCATAGGTTTTACCGGAAGAGGAACTGGTTTGGAGGGAGGTTTTACCCAGAATGGCCTCCTCCCCCAACTTATTAATCTTTTTCTCTTGCTCAAACAATCCTCCCAGGCTTTGGATTTGGACTTTTATTTGACACCGGATGGTGTCATTATTTCAGGGTGGCTAATCCAAGTCCTTTATTTTCAAAAATATTCTTAGAAAAATATGAAAATAGAGAGAATTTTCAGAAAGAGTTCGACTCCGGTTTTTTAAAAGACACTTGAAGTTTTCGAAAATACCCTCCCTATAAAGAAATTCAAACTTCAATTTGTTTTTGAAACTTGAAAACATTAGAAAAACTTGAACTTAAAATTCAAAAAAACTTGAATTTGAAAAATTTTAAAAAATTGAGAATTAAAAAAAAAAAAACTAAAACATTTGAAACAAGCATTAGTTTTAGCAGAATGACAAATTAGGATTCGGGTTGAAACATGATATCCTTTTCTCTACAGCATAATTCATTTGATGCCACATTGTATGAAGGGAAAAGTTTATATAAGGATGCTACCTTATAATGTAGAACTATGGATGCCCCTCAAAAATCCATCAAAAGGTAGTTTTAATGTTGAAAAACCCTTTGATTGATCATCTCGACATTGAGATGTATGACTGTGAAAAATAGAATAATTTTAAGTCTCTAAAATAGCGCATTTTACAACATATTATATACATTGTCAATTTTCAAGATTTTCATATGTTTATAGATCTACTTGATTTTAGCCATTTCAAAAATTTAAAATTTTATAATTAGTTATAAAAATAGATTTTGAGATAATCTTAAGAACATTTTACCTCCAAATTATATACCATGATAAATTTTGAAGGTGCACCTTACCTCTTCACCCATGGATGCATCCGTATGAAAACTGCACCCATGAAGGAATAAACAATTGAAGGATGCTCATGTCTTGCTTTATGTTGACTTTTGAGGAAGACTACGAAGTTCTATGTTTGTTTCTGTGGAATATTATCAAAGCCGTGAATTGCCCTAACCACATCTCTTGACTTAGGGGTCCACATTGCTGTGTTGGATTTGAAATTCGGATACTACTATGATGAATTAATTGAGATGGATTTCAGATCCAAAATTTTACATGTCAATAATATCCGCTTTTACGATTTATAAAGAATTGACATGACTTATCCAAAAATTGTCCAAAAAGTATATTTTTAAAATTTATAATAATTTTTTATGGTTGTGGTAGAGGTCATTGATCGGTTGCATTTTAAAATTAAATATGGATTTTGAAATGAGCATGTACTTAAGTAGAGTGCATGATCTGACTGCTGAAAACCTATAAATTTTAGTACCCTTACATGTCATTGGTACTTTAAATTGTATGTTTTTATTTTGTTCCAGGCTTAAAATCTAGGCATAGTTGACTATGGGAGAGAATTTATTGATCCAATAGCGAGTGACCGATGGCCAGATTGAGTTGCGCTTGGACCCGGCTGACATGACTTGAACTGTCCCAATATA